AAGTATTTCAAAAACGGAAGCTAAAAGCATAAAACCTTACCTGTCAAGATGGAGGATGCCTTAAAAAACAGTTAGATGCCAAATGGGTTCTGATGGCTTTATACACAAAAGACACCATTTTTACATGAAGCTTCAAATATCGTTCAAAACTCGAAAATTAGGAAAGAGGCCGCGCGAACGCTGGCCTCCACTGTCACAAATTATGACGTAGGCTCGACCACTTGGGTCGACCTTAGGCAGGCACCCCTCCTAAGTGCAATGGAGGTCGCCAACCTAAACCATGAGCCTCTTTGATCACTCATTGATTCCGTCCAGGTAAGTATGTTTAACGTTCTACATTAACCTTCTTAAATAGATCTAGATATGGCCACAGGTTTTATTCCATTATGAATGTGGGATGACACCCTATTAATAACCAACCTGCTTCTTATGCCAAGATTATATTACGCATGGTTTCGTTGTTGTATACTCATTCAGCCCCTTTTATTTAGTTTTGAATTTTATATATGACAATTCAACTCCACATTAATCTCCGTTATTCAAAGAGTGGAAGGTTTTAGGTGCCAGGAATGATAACGATGATCTCGAACATAAAATAAAACGTAAACATGACACCAATTATCGACTGGACCTCTGGAAGTTCAGTTAATTTAATTCAATCAAGCCAAACAATCTCGCATTTTCTAAAAAAAGTCATAGCTTATAAAGTCTGAATTAATCAGAATGTATAACTGAGATTTTTAAATCACTTGAGCATGATAGACATAAATTTAAACTGCAAATTATCGGAGGTTTTCAAATAAATGAAAACCTCTCCAAAAATAAGCATATGCCACTAATTAGACATTATAGAAACTATCTCAGTTTGTATTTAAACCATGTATACCCCATTGGCAAGATGTTTTGTATCTTAGACATTATTTGAAGCAACAACCTGGACAAGGACTGTTTTTCTCAGCAAAATCTACTTGTCAGTTAAAACAGTACCCGAAGGTTCACAAGCGACTGAGTATTTATTCCATGTACAAATAGTACTTCAAGATCATTATATGTACAAGGCCACCAACTACCTTGACCTTCCGGCACTGGGCAGGCATCAGCCCCCATACTTGGAGGTTCCCAATGAAATGAGGCATGTTAGGGAGCCACTACAAAGAGTACACTGAGATTTATTAGATTTTCTCCTCCACAAGGTTCGTCCATGGAGGGTGAGTCAGGGACTAAGATCATGGGAAAACGTCAACGGTTGCTGGCTTGTTACAACAATTCGTGAAACGGGGTATGTTATAGTTATAGTAGATTAATAAACGACGATCTAGTCACTGGTTTTCACTTCTCAGTGAGTGAAATATATCACTACAACAAAATTAAGTTTATAGGACACCCTCAGTCTCTAAGCGTCTCAATAGACCGCTTTATAGGACTTAATTTATAGGACCAAAATATAAAGCGTCCTAAAAGGTGTTGTAATAAGTTTATATGACGCTTTTTGGCGTCTTAACAAATTTTTTAGGGCATTTTTAATACAAAGTGTCGCATTAGCAAACTTTATAGGATACTTTTGAGAAAGTGTCCTATAAACTCATTTTTTTATTGGACACTTGTTTTTATAGGACAGTTTTTCAAATAGTGTATTATAAAATTGTTAATGGGACGCTTTATATTAAAAGTGTCATAAAAAACTTATTACGACGTCAAAAAACGTCATATAAACTTATTACAACACCTTTAGATATGACACTTTGTTTTTTTGGTCCTATAAGTTAAGTCCTATAAAAAGGTCTATTAGGACACTTAAAAATTGGAAGTGTCCTATAAACCCGATTTTGTTTGCTTTGTGCTTATTGCATGGATGCGTGATATTAAAAGGATGCTTAAGGGCCTTCTTTTTGCACCAGCTTTTAGCTTCGCATTTGCATTCACGTTCAAATGCCAGTTCAATAAAAGGAACGACGGCCATTTTTTTATCGAAGAGTTAAGAAATGGATGTAAATGCATGTGGCTTTTGTTCGAATCACAAAACAGATAAGAAATTATTCAACAACGATTAAAAAATCCCAGAATGGAACGGAGTTTGCGTTAAGGTCGTTGTTTACTAAACATGAATCAGGTAAAATTAAGCTTAATTACCGGGTCACTTACCTAACTGGCCACAAGGTGAGATTACAAAAACCAAGAATTTAGCTTACGCGGTAAGTGAGAGTGGTGAGTGCTTACAATTTCATTATATATAAGTTGTTGTAGATATTCTATATTATAGATGTAACGAATTGGCACCTAACCATAACATAATCTTATATGATATTGAGATTCGTAGTAGTTTATTGATAAAAACTTGTCCTTGCGGAGATGTTGCAATCACCTCGCTGTTTGTAGTTTGATCGGTTTCCCCTTTTGTTGCTGGTACCAGTTAAAAACCAATTAATGGGTTTAGCTAAAAATGACGATGGTATAGCCACCATGACCGGAGACAATACTAAGAAGGTGGCTTTTGGTGGGCAACCGGACACCATTTTACGTAACAATCATAAGAGATAAAAGATCGAAGAAAACATTAAATATTCAGAATTAGAGAGGGCCGCGTCCCACTGTCACAAATTATGACATAGGCTCGACCACTTGGGTCGACCTTAGGCAAGCACCCCTCCTAAGTGCAATGGAGGTCACCAACCTAAACCATGAGCCTTTTTTATCACACATTGATTCCGTCCAGGTAAGTATGTTTAACGTTCTACAGTAACCTTCTTAAATAGATGTAGACATGGTCACAGGTTTTATTCCATTATCAATGTGGGATGACACCCTATAGATATAAATTTAAACTGCAAATTATAATTATAGGAGGTTTTCAACCTCTCCAAAAATAAGCGTATGCCACTTGAAACAACGAACACACAGTATTCTTTAGTAAAAGGCGAAAGAATAGTTCGCTTTGTGTTCATTGGATGGCTGCGTGCTTCTTAATGTAGACTGAGGGGTCTTATTTATGCATCTGCTACACTCCACATTTGTATCCAGGTCTCCATGTGGGAATTTTGAACCGATTCAGAGCTTGATAAGAAACGATTTAGTGTTGTTTTGTATGTGTGTTAAGGAATTTTGAACTGATTCATTCTCTGGCCAGCACCCCCCGGCCGCCGATCTCCAGCTTCCCCATGTTCGTCATCACCTCCACCCTCCATCTCCATGAGATCACCTCCAGCTTCTATTTACCTACAATTCAGAGGAGATGAACACTATATTAACATCAAGAATAATAATAGTCACAGATCATTTAAAACAATTGAGTTTTTGATAGGTTTTATGATGCAAAATTACAGAAAATTTGAAACATGTATTATTTGAGATGAAGGGAGTAACTGGTTTTACTTAAGCATGTGATAACAATTATGAAGACATAGGAGCATAAACACATAATCAGAAATCAATTTAACATAATATTGTAAAGTGTTCAATAGATCTAATCGTGTAGCACTTGAGTTACACACAACGAAGCTCATTGAGGCGAAAGCAGTCATCGTTATGTGTAGATAGAAGACTTCTAAAGGACTATACGGTTTGCTTCAGAACGGGATTGAACTAAATGCAGATTCGTGTAGGTAATAAAGACTTATAGGCCATGGAAACTAGAGACCCGTATGATAAGGAGTCTTACTTTGATTTTCAAATAATAGAAGATATACACTTATTTAGTGTTAATCAGATAATTAATTTAATTTTTTTGTATAACTTTTTTAATTCAATTTTTATTATATTTAGTTTATGTTTAATAATGAAGTAATTTATTTTTGATTTAATTATATAATTCTTTATAAAGATAATAATTAAGTATTCTTTTAGAAATCAATGATTATCCTAATTATATTTTAGAGTTTTTATATTTAAAATGAAATGTTTATCTTGTATTTGATTATGTTCATCTACAGTTAGTTACACGAATTAAAAAGCTTCAACGAAGCTTTAATAAGTTGTACTTACGTACAATATACTTGTAATCTTGAATTTTAAGTAATATACATTAATAAACAGTACTTTATGCATAAAAAATGGTTTTTAAAAGTTTTTGTCAGATGTTTTATAATATAGTATAGATATATCCAAATATGTAACCGGATAATAACTGATATAAAATTCTCTTGATAAATAATGCTTAATCAATTGCCGTTTAATATTTATTACAGATAATGATAAACTCCAATTTATTTCCAACATTCTCCCAGTGAACTTAACATAATCTGTAAGGACAAGAGAACCACAAACATTACATGGATCAAATGAAGGGCAGGCTAAGAATTCTAAGAGTTGGGAATTCGTTCAAACTTGGTCAAAATAGATACCATATGTAGGACTCAGAATCTACACCAATTTGACAAACTAGTTTGATTAAGAACCACTAACACAGTTTCATATTCCACATCAGTTCATAAGTGTCAAAATTTGAGCATATATGCAAATAATTATATCTACCTGCATTAGCATAAATATGTAGCTCAGATTCTACCGAATGTTTTTGAAAAAGTTTCTAAAAACTACAAGCAAAACTTCTTAACACTAGTGAACCCAATTTTGCTTACGTAGTCTGCAATTATTGCTTAAGCACGAAGATTCACTTGTTTGATATAGATAACAACATAAATTTTATTTTAATTTGTTAAAAAAAATAACATGACTGATTTACAAAAATAGATAGCTCTTTTGTGCATTTTGTCCTTATTTTGTATAAAGTTCTTTTAAAAATTATAAAGAATTTGTTAGAGATGCTCTTATATTATAAATTTAGTGAATTGGCACCTAACAATAGTATAATTTAATTCGACGTTAAGAGGGTTAATTACCCAGATGCTTATCCAGTAAGTGTTTACCGGTAAAAGTCAACACTCTAGGTTACCTTACCAAGTAAGATTCTAATCCATTAAGACGACAATGTATGCAACAATTTATTTGAGAAGCACTACCGAGTAAGACTATGACTATAGGCTTTTGTCATTACTAAATTAGAAAAGAGGCCGCGCAAACGTTGGCCTCTACTGTCACAAATTATGACGTAGGCTCAGCCACTTGGGTCGACCTAGGCAAGCACCCCTCCTAAGTGCAATGAAGGTCACCAACCTAAACCATGAGCCTCTTTGATCACTCATTGATTCAGTCCAGGTAAGTATGTTTGATGTTCTACAGTAACCTTCTTAAATAGATGTAGACATGACCACAGGTTTTATTCCATTATGAATGTGGGATGACACCCTATTACTAACCAACCTGCTTCTTATGCCAAGATTATATTATGCATGGTTTTGGTGTTGTATGCTCATTCAGCATCACAGGGGAGACCATGTGCTAGCACTTTTATTTAGTTTTGAATTATATATATGACAATTGAACTTCATATTAATCTCCGTTACTCAAAGAGTGGAAGATTTTAGGTAATAACGATGATTGGATCGTTTAACAAGCTACCCAATATCTTGAACATACATAAAATAAAACGTAACGTGACACCAATTATCGACTGGACCTCTGGAGGTTTAATTAATTTTATTCAATCTAGCCAAACAATCTCGCATTTTCTAAAAAACAATCCAAATAAGCACGATAGATATATTTAAACTACAAATTATAGGAGGTTTTCAAATAAATGAAAACCTCTCCAAAAATAAGCGTATGCCACATAAAACAACAAACACACGGTATTATTTAGTAAAAGGCGAAAGAATAGTTCGCTTTGTGTTCATTGCATGGCTGCGTGCTTCTTATTTTAGACTGAGGGTCTTATTTATGCATCTGCTATACTCCACATTTGTATCCATGTCTCCATGTGGGACACTTACTGAAATTGAAAAAAAATGTTTGATTTATTATTGCAATCTATACTATATTATAAATTATTTGATAAAAACTTTTAAAAACCATTTTTATACATGGAGTACAGTATATTGATACATATTACTTAAAATTCACGATTACAAGTAAATTATGCGTAAGTTACATTATTAAAGTTTTATGTTTTGAATTCGTGTAAGTAATTGCAGATAAACATAATCGAGAGGATAAAGATCTCATTTTACATATAAAAACTTTAAAATATAATTAGGATAATTATTGAAAATACTTAATTATTATTTTTATAAAAAAATATATTATTAAACAAAAAATAATTAAAGAAATACACAAAAAAAAAAAAAACTTTAACTAGTTAGTTTAATACTAATATCAATATTTCTTTTCAATTATTTATGATATTTTCATATTTATATCTTATTTAAAATAAAAACATTATCGTTTTCTCAAAATCATATAAATTCGTATTATAACATTGACTGAGACAAAAAAACACAAAACGTTAAAATCGAGATGTATATCGCTGCATTGTACGAGTACCCTTATTAAAGCTTCATGTTTACATTCATATAACTAATTGGGGATAAACATAATCAAATAAAAGATAAACATCTCAATTTAAAATATAAAAAATTTAAAATATAATCATATTACTAAACCAAATATAAATTACTTTGTTATTCAACTAAAATTAAATTATAATTAAAAAAATTTGAATTAAAAATTTACACAAGAAATGAAAATTTTTAAATAGTTAATTTAATATTAATATCGATATAATTTTATCAAATAAAAGATATACCTCGTTGCATTGCACAAGTACCCTTCTAATTATTTCAATAGAATATAAATATATAAATGGAAAAGAAATTTATGAGAATACTGAAAGAGAGTGTTGATTTTCATAAATAAAGAAGCCATTTGATGAGCAGAAAGCAATACACAACCAAAATTTAGTTCCACCACCAAGAACAAGAACAAGAACATGAAGGATGAACAGTTGCCACATCCATGGCTACCACAATGAATACAATATTTTTCTCATTTAAATACAAAGAACGTAAAACCCTCACCTTCTCTTTATGTAAGAAACCATCCTTCAGTTTCTTCTTCGTTTCTCCAGCGGTGGGCTCCCGCTTGTCTTCCTTTTCCGGCCACCAGACTTGAGTGGCGACCGCTGTCTCCCGCCACCTTCCCCCACCATTCCCACCTCCCCTTCTTCTACTGCCTCAAAATCTTCAACCTCTTTATCATCAAGATTCGAAGGTTTCAACCAACTCTGTTTTCTCTCTTGTTTGCTTTTCTCAGATTCAGCCGCCAATTCTACACCATCTTCTAGTTCCCGCTCGATCAGATCATCCTCATCCATGAACTCCGTTCTCCGACTCACATCACCACCGCGTGCTTTTCTTCGTTTCTCTAGAGCCGCCCTAACTTTATCTTTATCTATCTTTCTTATCGCATCCTTGGGTGACGGCTGGCTTCTGTAATCCACATTTTGACCACGGAATTCTTGGTCTTCGACCTCATGCCGCTTGGGCCCACACATCGAGTTCGTTTCCCCTTCTTTACCGTCGCCGTTTTCTGATTCACAATGCTGATCATCGTTGTTCTCCACATCAGAAATGATATCTTTGTTTCGATCCGTACTTCCATCATCGTTGCTATGATCTTGGGATGTTCTTGGATGGCCGCCACCATTATCTTGATAGAGTTGATCGGGAGTGGGTCTTGATGATGCGGGGTTTGAGGTTCCGGAAATGGAAGTGGCACCAACATGAGAATCACTGTCGTTTGCGCCATGTTCTTCGTTAACAGCAGGGGGTCGTGCCTTCTGAGTGACCCCGCCACCTGTACTTCCGTCAAGAACCTCACTAGTTTGAGAAGGCGGCATCCTATTTTGTTCATATAGTTCTAACATTTGGTTGCTAACCTCTGCAATAAATAAACACAAATTTACCATTAGAAATTCAGTCTAAAAGCCAAATATGTAAGCAGAGCTGACCTCTAAAAAAAAAATATTAGAGCGGTTGTTTCCCTCAAGACCCCCGGCTTGTGCAAGAGTAGAAATTCCAGTCTATGAGCATTTAAGAACGGGGTGCCCATACTACCGCTCTATCGTGCCGAAGTAGTGGGAAAAAAGTTTAGGTGTCTTAAAGGCGCATCCACTTTAATCTGACGTGTCCCCCCCCCCAAAGTTAACGAAAAGTGATTGTAATACTAGTAGCGTCATTGCATGTGGTTCATAGTAAATTAGCCTAGAACCATATGCGAATGTAAAAGTTAATAGAATCCTCCCAGCTTGTCTCTCCTATCCGTTAAATATCTTAATAAATTGGATGCCCAGATAACATTGTTTTTTTTCCATTTTTCTAGTAGTACGGACTTTAACGAAATAATTAGAGTTCACGTTGCAGTCAAATATTACGTAAGAACAAAAAGGGTCTTTGGCCCAACAATATCCGGGTTACCAATAGATCCCAACGTCCCCGGAGGTCAAGGTTCAAACCTCACCAAAGGTGAAGAGTGTGTGTGAGTATTTGACGTATATAAATTTTATACATTTAAAATATGTATGGTTGAAACGAGAACAAGGTCAAAGTAAGAAAACACAAGAACTATATCATATGTGATTTTACAGTCGAATCACATTTATCAAGGAACAAGGTCAAACCAAGTTTGTACGCTCCCACCTCTCCGATATATATATATATAATCACATGTAATGTAAAATAGAGAAAAAAAAAAGACAAAATGCTTTTTTTATTCTTTTCCACCAATGAAATTGAATTATAGGTGTTCTCGTGTTCTCTTGCAGCCGTTTACCAAACGCTTACCGGCTAACGCTTGTCGGGTAAGCGCTTATTGGTAAGAGTCACCACTCTCACTTACTTTATGGGGTAACATTTCTTGTCATCGAAATGGATTGATGGTAAGCATTTACAACCCGCTAAGCGCTTACTTGGTAAGAGTCATCGCCCTCAACTACCAGGTAAGACTCTCAATCCTTGTCTTCCCTCTTATGGGGTAAGATTCTGAATCCTTATAATGATCACCCAGTAAGGTAATTGAACTGGTAAGCGCTTACCAAGGTAAGTGTTTAGTAAACAGCCCCTTAGTTTGACTCTGTTCACGTTTGAACCCAACTCTATATATCAGATATAAGACAAGATACCAACCTTCCAATTGGCGTGGGGTAACATTGAACTCCTGCCACCAAACCTTCTCGCCATCTGATGGAAGCTTTACTTTGAGAAACTTGGCGGCAAGAAAAATCGCACCGGCTGCAATGTGATGGGGCTTAAACTGCAAACAGAGTGATGTCCGAAGCCTGCATGCCCTTTTTGCAGGTCAAAAGCAGAAAAGAAACAATGACGAGAGGCGAGAGGCACAATGAACTACATAAAGGAATAATAATATACCCATCATTCACGAAATTCCATGCAACCTGGGCAAGCGCATTTTGAGCAACCTTAAACTTCTTTATGGCCTCAACAAGTGGCTTATATGGATGATGCACATTGAAGTCGAAAGCAAGAGTTGCAAGAACTACACGTTCTCCCGTTAAAATTAATTCTTTTTGTTGTTCATACACCTCCTACATTGCAAAGTAAAGAACATCAACCATCTCAACTTTTAGACTACTAAAGAACAAAAGACGTTATAAGTTTATAGATTACAAATAATAAAGCAAACAAGGAGCTACCTTCGACACCAAGTTCTTTCAGTTTTGACATTTTTAAGAATGATTAAAAACAAGTCATGATAAGCAAGCTCGGTGCAACATACGGTACCTTCTGTTTGATTCTCTGTACAGCCTCAGGATCCTTTTTGTGATTAATTTCGTAGGAAACAAGGATGACATCTTTCAAAGGACGAGGAGTTTCTTCAACCTTGCCTGCAAGAAACATGCAGACTGTTGCAACCGTCTGCAATCCAAATAATTAGTCAATATTCAAGAAGTCTCCCTTATTTATGATGATTATAATCACTCAGTAGCAAAAATGTCACCGTTTATTGCAATTATTAATATGTAAATTATATATACATAACACTGATTACATACATAGAGTAAGGCATAATTTTCAGCATCTATTATAATGAAAACGTATTTGAGGAAACTGAGAAAAATAGACATGCATAAGCATCATATCACATGCTACGCTTTTGGTGTATGCCAAGAAGCTCAACCGTGTCATTCCTATCTGTCAAAAATTTCTTAAATCAAAATTTTGATACAACTCCTTTTAGGCACACATGTATAGCAGCTCTTATTATTCTGGATGGAAGTTTGACTTTCAAATTGAAACACCACTAGAACTATGCATTTCTAGCCAAAAACAAATACAAAATAAATCATAATAATAATAATGGAAGTTGAGACACAGGGAGAGTGGGATGTCAGTGCCATACATATTTCATCATCAAACTTCCAAATAGGTTTATAAGCAAACAAACATTATATATTTATGAAACAAACACAAACACATGCACAAAAATACATGCATAATTACGCACAAGGATACAGAACAATATGTCATGGATCTAGACATAAATAAAAAAACAACGAGAAAGTATATATTCTTTTCTAGAATCTTGTTAGAAAGTATATATTCTTTTCTAGAATCTTGTTGGAAGACAGAATGAAAGGAAGAACTGCCTGCATTATAAGGCTGAATTAGAAAGGTATGTCATTCATGTATTCATACACAAAGATCCTTCTTTTTCACCACTAATAGCCTCATGCAAGGGAGTAAGGGATTCAAGAAGTTGAAAGAAAAAAAGACCCCCTAGAAAAGAAATTATTCAGCACTCAGCAGGACTAAAAAGGTCGACCTCATAGTAAAGAAACTATGATAATGTAACCCTACTACTTTGTCTGTATGGTTTGTGCTCTGGATAGCTACTTTTCTTCCCAGCCTTTGAGCTATAAAATGTCACACTTATGAAAAGCACAAACTTTCTACACTTAAAGCTCACAAGATACAGATCTAGCGAAATTCAAATCATGGATTGTCGAAAAAGATATGAAAGTAAAACAAGGCATAACTCACCCTCCTGTCATTCTTTGCATGCGACTGGCGAAGGAAGAAACGATGGCAAAAGATAATAGCAGTAGCAATAGTTACCTGGGGCCTGAAAGGACATATCCAATTTATTATTTCAGAGAAGCTTGAGGCTTGCAAATTACCAATAGAGGCATGCAGGCCTACACAGAAAGCACTATAAAAAGAAAAAAAATGTTGCAACCTCCATGGATACAAGCATAAGTATATACAATATACCAACTAGAAACATGATGGATTTTTGTGGGGAGCACGAAGAAAACCATATAATTCTTAGTGTGGCATAGTATGGCTAGTGTTGCCAAAACAATACTACTAACATTACAATTCGTAGATTTTCGTTTAATTTGTGAGTAAATGGTATGGTATGAACTCTTAACAATTTGGAATCTTGTCTAATTAATCTCAGATATGTGAAATTGTAGAAGGTAGTATACACTCATGTAAACTAAGTATAAGCATGGAAATAAGTACTTAGTAAAATCTGAAACTTGTATCAGTGACAGAATATTTATATATAAGTTGTGAGATCAAGGAAAGGTTTGAATCAATGAGCACCGCTTACGACCAAAGAGAGATTATGTGCAAGCATAAAATGTGAAGTATGTGGTAATAATAGATACAAGTCCCATGAACAATTTGTACATCCATTCGCCACATGTAACAAAAGATTAAAGTGCATATTCATGAAGCTGCTTCCACCTTGTAATGTTTATTATAAGTTATAGCGAATAGACATGAGCTTTAATGTGAAGGAATTTCAAAGAAAGAGAAAATATTAATCCATATTTTCATCCTAAGAAGTTCAGCCTTGCCAAGCCTTTCATCCAAATGACTCAAAAAGGCAAAGTTCTACTGTGACCTCTTTTCCCTCACCTTTCTCCTACGCGTTAATGCCAATCCTAATTTGTCACAGACACATTGGTCAGGTGATAAAAAATAGACTACTTTTATCAGGATTAAAGGCTTAGCTTCTTGACTCATTCAAGACTAAAAGATGAAATTAACCATCAATATCTGCAAATCTACCTTTCATCTTATTCTTGCAACTAAATATGTTCACAGAAGTTTCTAGCAGCATCAGATGATGAAGGCAGAGTGAGAGAGTAGAAAATCATTGATGCATGGGTTCCAGCATAAGAAGTTAAACAACACATCCAGAGTAAAGGAGATAAGATACAATCTTAGAATTAGCAGTTATTTCTGACGGTCAAGGGTAATCATGTCTGGAAATTCCTTCAAGGTTGCATGTAGCATATAAGTAATATCTCCAACACTTACTTGGTAAGTGCTGTTACATGATCAATGGAAGTAGAAAACAAATGCACTTGATGGCACAGTCTCTTCACCAGTAAAATTCATATAGGCCGTTACTTTGCCTTCGATACGCTGACGGAACTGGACAGAACTGGATGGGATTGGACAGGACTGGGCGTGCAATTGAGGTGGGAGGCTGAAAGAACTCTGCAAGGTTTTAGGGTTTTATTTTGACATGGGTAGTTTAGTAATTTACCAATCTTATCCCATCTCCCTGGTTTTTGTTCCACCTATTTTGGTGGGACAGAAAAAATGCATCTTCGTCCCACTCAGGTCCTGTCCAGACTCTAGTGCCAGTCTATGTTGTGCACTAAACATGGAACAAGTTTTTGTACTGCCCTGTCCTGTCATATCCCGCATACCAAACACACCCTTAGGTCCAAACAAACAAGGCTTTAGTTGGACTGCATTCTCACATTCCGGAAAAGATGAAATCAAATATGCACATGGCTGATGGCACCAAATCCTATTACTACCGATTCACAGCTTCATCTCTTACTCACATTGGTTCTTTCCGAGAGAGCTTAAATCTTAATATCCAAAAATACCTGCCTCCACACCCTTCCTACTTGTGTGGCTCAAGTAATATGAAGTATACAACTTCTTCTTTGTATAGCCACATAACTAAACTCCTAGTGTACTAGAATCCTCCTTTTCACCTAAGAACACAATAGGATATATGCAGTTAAGCACACAAATGCCTCCTTGGCCCAAACCTTAAGCTCACTTGGGTAGGATTCGTAAGGTTCTCAAAGTAGTACTTTGTTTCATTGATGAGACCAAGACAAAATAGACAAGGTTACCTACTTATCCCACTCATGAAAGGATCGTGTAACATTGATTTTGTAGCATATGACAATAACACAGTCCCTGAAAATAACAGGTTTTCGCCTTTTCTGAATGAGTAATTCAGTAACTATTTGACAGACTAAAGCCATATACCGCAAGAACATGAATTCATGCATACACCTGCACACAGCAGCATATATGATTACTTATCGTTGGTGAATCCCATGAGGATTTGCAGGCTAAAAATCATAATATGCTGATTTCCATATGAAACGCTTTTGGGAGACAAAATACCAGTGAGTATAAATACTGCAACTTAAATCATCGGTTTGCTCAAGTTCAGTTCTTCCAGCATTACCTTACAAGGAAAAATAGAAATCTAAAAACCAAATAAAATTTTAAAGAACAATAGAAAAAACCAAATAAAATTTTAAAGAACAATAGAAAAAACCAAATAAAATTTTAAAGAACAATAGNCAAATAAAATTTTAAAGAACAATAGAAAAAACCAAATAAAATTTTAAAGAACAATAGAAAAAACCAAATAAAATTTTAAAGAACAATAGAAAAAAAAAACTATAAGTATCAAGCTGATGTTCAAAGACAGATTATGGTTGTGGACTTTTATACCAACAAGTGCATACAAATGTTACTCTTCCATGCAACAACGTCCTTTTGAACCCTTCTATTTAAAAAAAATAAAGAGAATATGTTATTTGCACATTGCATGTCTCTCAAAGACAAGATAAAGTTCATGAAAAGAAGACTAAGACATGACTTGAAATATCAACAAATACAAACTGACAATCTGGAAGAGATGCAAGAGCACAAATCTTATGGCACCTCTTATTGTTGATATCAAAGACCATATCTGGTAATGCATCGATGCAATAGGCAAGCTTTTTTATGTGATCATCTTACAAGGGCATGCATTGATACATTGAAATCATTGAATCATGTGAATAAATAAATCTACAAGATTAAAGGAACAATGATCATACAAAAACCAAAGGATAAAGCAACTTACACTTTAAGTCTCATACCCAAGTCCTGCAGGAATGTGCAATATGATTTGCGCAGATAAGTCTCCTTCTTCAAATCAATGCCATCTGATCTAGAAGGTGAGTTTTCTTCTATTTCTTTCCTAGAAAAATACCAGCGGCCACCATTTTCCTCTGGCTTATTATCAGACTGCTTATAAGGACCACCTTCATGCATTCCAGAATGCATCGGGTCACTGGACAACAAAGCAGCCATTTGTATCCCCTACTCACTTCCAATCTATCCAGGAATGAAACTGGAGATCTCCCTAGTTAACAGGATACATTAAGATTGCCATCACCTACCTGTGTAGAATGTGTAATGTAATAAAATTCATAAGAAAGAAGTAGAGGCAACAAATTGCTTGAAGAAAAAGTTATGTATTGACTTGCAAAAAAGCTAAGAGGCCCAAATGCATTCTAAGCCTACATGCCATCCAACCAAATATTACCTTTGTTTGATAGAATTGATCATTGGCAGCTGCAGATGTGATAACTTTAGAAGTTCAAACTAGATATATATACTTCCTATGACCTCAGCACTTTTTTAGAAGATACAAATCTAACATGATAATGTAAAATTATTTATTCGATTGACTACATTATCTTAATAAAGCACCATTGTCACTTGATTTGAGCACTGGAAATGCAGAGGCTACTCCTACTAAAGAGATTCACAATTAAAAGAAACTTGATTAAAGTACACAGGCGACGCTGCTGAAAAGTACAGCTTAATATTCACAATTACCTTTTCTACTCAATTAGCATCCCAATTATATTATGGAACAAAGGAGTGCATCCTGAATAGTTGTCAAGATAAAATTTAACATGTACTATAGTTAGAATACAGTGCCACAGAGGATATCATCTGGACTAATTTGGTCAATTGCTTATGTAGGATAGGTCACTGAACACACTACTTGCGACAATCTTTAGTAATATCCAAATCAGTGACTACAAACCAGGCTTTTATTCAAGTTACAGATCCATGTAGAATTTAAGAAGATTAGCCTATTGGAATTAATATTGTATTCAAGTCCCTGTGTTGTAACTGTTTTACTGTATTTTCAGTTAGTCTTTATAATAGTTGTTTGTGTAACCTCTAGAGTATAAATCGGTTGCTTTGTTAGTTAGTTTGGTTAATTCTGTTAGACATTGATTGAGCTTAATGAGAGAAAGAACACACCGTGTAAAGAGAGAATTGTTCTTAATCAATATACAGCCAACAGCTCCACATCTATATTCTTGTGTTCTTGATTGTTTGATGTTAATGACTTGATCTGGGACCTACAAAGCCCTCGCATGTTTATGTTGGAGTTATATAATATACATGAAGCCAACGGCAAAATCCATGAGCATTGTCACAAAAGCATAAAATGATCCAACATGAAGAAACATTTTCCAATAATCCGTGTCTCATCTCAATAGGTGGACAGCTCTACAAATCCTATTAGGCTCCATGACACTTAGACTCTGTCGGGTTAAAAAAAGAAAAAAGGAGGACGGTAAATTTTACTTGAAATAATAAAAAAGTGAAAAAAAAAAAGAATGACAGGCAAGAGTTGCAACTTTCTCCCAATAGCACTATCAACTAAGGAGTAAGGACAACTAAGTAGAAGTTTCTCTGTCCGCTTTTCTATATAATACTATAAGAACGACGCAGAACTGGTAAACTAACTTGCAATCCATCCTTTTCAAAACATAACTGTTATTTCCATAAGAGTTCTCTCAGTAACCACTACATGCTTGACAGCCAACTGAAATACAAAACAAACAGAAAAACATATGACCAGAACAATCAAGCTATAGTACCAACAATATCGTTATAAAAATGAAATAACAGATCCTTTAGTTTACGTTTATGAGTAACCCTTGGACCATCTTAGGGACATCACAGGGGTTTGCTTTCTTGTTATTTCAAAACTCTGTAGGCAAAGAACCATGAAAGATTGCAAATAATAAACATAGGCATATTACCATAGCTATACAAAATGCAATATAGCATACATCAGTAACCAAAACAATTTCCATATGTTTCAGATCATAAAGAGATCCAACGAACGGACGATAAGGGAACATGATCACCAACAACATCTAACTATGTCACTTTCCCTATTCAAGAAGATAAGTTGCATTAAAAGATCTATCCGATCATCTAAATCATATTAAACAGAAAACAGCATTAACACCCAATTAGGTATGTGATTATGCAAATTGATTTTCGAAAAAACAAAGTGTTCTGTAAATTGACTATAGATAGCTAAGCTAGAAACCTAAAATCATTACATGGAATTAACATAAATGCCTTCCACAGAACCAGAAGAATTTTAAAATTCAATTCCACCAGTTCACAAAAAGCAAAAAAAAAACAACAACAACAAATGGAGAGTATTTATGTACCCGAAGACAAAAAAAAATACAATTTTTCTCCCGATAAGAATACCAAGAAAAAGGGTTTCATGTGCAACATCGGTCTCACAATTTCAATATTAAAAGACTAAAATTTGCAATCAAGATCCCGTAAATCGTCAAATTTTCAGTTCTTTTACCCTCCCTGCGATTCCTAGTAACGTAATAACAAGGAAAAAAGATTGTATTCATATTGAAGAAATATTAGGGCACAAAAACGCAAAAAAAAAAAAAGATAATGTAACAATGATTAAAACTAACCGGAGACCAATAAAGTCTTGCCTGAGCGAGGCTCCGGCGGGAAGCGGCGTTTCCGTCGTCCTCTTGTCCTCTCGGTCGTGCTACTTCTTTTCTGATTTGCAGACTAAGATATGAGAGAGAGAGAGGGAGAAGAGGTGTGGGATTCAATCGCGTTTCAAGAGACAAAGGGGAGGGTTTATGTCAAGAAAGCGTGAATTACATAAACAGTCCCTCCACTATTTTTTAGGTAGAGAAATAAACAAAGTTAGCCCATGGACTTGTCCAAATATAATTGTTGGACTATTTGCTTTGGAGGAGAGTTTTTTTTTTTTTCCGGATGCATTTTAAATACGGGGTTAGATTCATATGAGATCAGATTTTTTTGTGAGACCCGTAAGTTTATTTGTTTACACTTAAAAGGTTTATTGGGTAACATTTTGATTTAAATTTACCCATCATACCAGGTTTTCATGTCACCTCATTGTTCACATAGGCTGTTCACATGTGCTATAGTGATGTGATTTTCTTACTACATCATTATACCTTCAAAATTGTTTTATTATAACATCTACTAGTTCTTATTAAACATTGTATCTTTAATTTTAATATTTAGATATTTTACATGTTATCTGATAAATATATTAAATGAAATTAAAAAAATTCTAAATTATTCATTAATATACCAATATCAATAAAACTAGTACAACGCAACTTATCTCGTTAATATATTTTTTTTTAAATATGTGTTTTTTGAAAAAAAAAATAAGAATTTTTTTTTTTACCAAAAAATATTATTTGAATAAGATCTCAATTCCAGCGACGGTTTCATTATATATCTTACAACTAGAATCCCTCTTTTTTCCGATCCAGTCCCTCCACCACCGCGAACCCCAGTCAACAGTTACACCTACTTGTTCGACACTATACTTAGATTCTGCCCTTCGAAAAGGAACATCGGCTCTAACAGAATATTGATGATATATAATTCCAATATGTAAGGTCTATGAGTCATCTCAGAAATGAGAATGGATAAGAGGCTAGTGGGAATCAATATAGGAAATAAGATAGAAATATTCCCGTTGTTCCTCAGTAGCTCAGTGGTAGAGCGGTCGGCTGTTGCGGGTCGAGGGCTCCTTCTCCTTCCCCCTCTTCAAACTCCGATTATGGCAGATTTATTCACTCTATCAATAACCGAGCCGGGTGAAAAGAACCCCCATCGGGGAGTGAAATAGAACATGTAAAGAGTATATTATATTTGTTCAAAAAAACTTACTTGACGTATAAATATATTAAATTAATTAGACTTTTTTGAATTATTTATTAATGTAAAAATATTAAAAAAAATAGGTCACCATTTATTTCGTTAACATCTTAAAGAGAACTTTAAAAAATATGTATTTATTTGAACAACATAAAATAAGAAGTGTTACATTTTTTACACAAACAAAACATATTTCGAAAATAATGTTTCATATTTATTTAAGAAATATTTTACTCTAGAATATTTAATTTGCATGCAACTTAATAATAAAAAGTCAAAAAATTTAAATGTTTTTTAGATCATGGCAATGAAAAATGAAAATCACTAATAATAATTTGAAATAGATTATTTTTATTTTAGTTAAATCATCAAAATGATGTGTTATCCACATCAGCTCATTAAAGTCACACAAGCAAAAAAAATCAAGAGGTTAACCGGTTTAAAAGGTAACAAGTTACTCATTGCCCTTATAAGTATGATTTTTAAAGTACGATGTCTTAGTAAAAAAAATTTGAAAGTACATTGTTGTAATAAAGAAAAACAAAAGTATATTGTTATAATAAGAAGCTTTATGAAAGTAAGTTGTTATTCCATGCATTTATGTTTTTCTACAAAAAGCACTTATCAACTTATTATAAGTCAGAATGGTTTATCTTCTTCAAAAACTTCTTATTACTGGTTTGACACCGGTATAAGTTGTTTATGCAAAGTGTTTATTACCGGTGTCACACCGAAATAAATCAATAAGTTGTTTTTATAAGCAATCCCAAACACCCCCTTAGTATAAACAGCCATGATTTTACTCTTCAAAACTCCTCTTCGGATAATTCGTCCAAGCCAATAATAGCTATAATATCTTGAAGTTGTTTGTAACGTTGTAAAGTTTGCTTAACCCGTTGTACAGTTTCATAATGTTCTTCACCAACGATCCAGGGTTGTAGCATAGTTAACGTTAAATCTAAAGAATCCACTCCAGGGTTTTATTTTTAGCTTATCGTTTTATCTCGTTAACTTTTGTTAATCGTTATTTACCGATTTATAATATTATTGTTATTTATATATCATTGTTACATTAACGTAATTTAAATTCTCGTTTTCTTTATCGTAGGTTTTTATTTAGTCGTTTAAATTATCGTTACCATCCTATCAAAAAATTATCGTTACCATGTTTACTAATCGTCGTCACTTAGTTTATATTTCGGGTAATTTTTCATCATTTATTTTAATCTCTATTAGTCGTTAGTTTTACCATGACTTTCATATTTTTTTAGTTGTTGTAAAAATTTGTTTTGTCGTTTCTAGTCTTTTTTTTTAAATGCAAGGATTCCAAGCGATGATAGGCTGACAACCTTAGCTCGGGTGTTGTGTGTGTTAATCATCTCGCTCAGTGATTTAATGATGATATTTTTTATCTAACGAAAAGTACTTAGTTCTCTTTATTCATTTTCAACGATCATCACTGAGTCTGTTCAGGGGTCGCTGAACAAGTATTGCAATTCTCAAGAGACAAGTATTATTCAAGAAGACAAAACGTACACCACAAGAACCTTCAGTGATTTCGAAGATAAAGCTGAAGATGGAGACAACCAATTCGTGATCTGATGGGGTTTCAGTGATAACAAGTCTGTCTACAAGAATGTGTGAAGTCTACTGATAACTCTCATTTTGTTAGAGTTATTTGTTGTTCTTTACCCCTATTTTATTTTATCTTTGGTACCCATTTTGCTCATATTCTATATTTTTGGTCCAAAATATGTTAAGAGGTGATGAAAGGTTAAGAATTTAATTATT